GTGTTCATCCAGCTCCACACCTTGTTATCTCAGACTTACAATGGAGGTGTCTTTCTCCAGAACAGCTGCACTCTTGTTTTAACCTGGCACAAACACATGACTGGGGTTCCCTACTCAAGACCCCAGGCTAAAGGTGCAATCTTATGGCTTAATGATACAGTAACTTCCTGATGTGCTTCAACTCAGAAGGTCCCAATCATCTCCTTTCGGTGGGTGTACCAGAAATCTCCAAGTTTAAAAATTTGTTAGGGTTAAGTTCCAAATGGGTAAGCAGTCAGCTCCTTTTGGTAGAAAAAACTATCCAGCTGCTGCGTTTTCAGAGTGGGGTGAGGGTTTGGAGGTGGGGGGGGCGATATGCTAAAAAAAAGGTTAAAATAAACTCCTTAGATCTTGTGGCGCGCAAACACACACACTCTTTGTGTTAAACCGATCGTCTAGATAAACAGATAATAAAAGGTGCAGAGGAAGACAACAGTACTGGCTGTCTGATTGGTGTTCATGCTGTGTGATGCAGCCTGGATTGGGCCGCAATTCCAAGTTCAAGGGGAAAATTGAAATAAAACCTAAAATTTGATCAAAAAATAATTCTGTATTTGGTGCAGAGAGATGAGGAATATTCCACATTGGCAGCAACTTCCAATAGAAATGAGATTTTACTCAGTTAAAACAAAATTCTGACCAGCAGGTAGATGAAGGAGGATTTAGCAGAGAACCATTAGCCAGGAACTGTAAAAGTAAAAATGTTGAGAAGGGAAGGTGTTTGCGGACAGGGAAGAGACAAGAGGGTTTGCCTTCTTAACTATTTCATCCGTTATTGTGCTTCAGGATCATTTTCCACCATTAAACTCCTGAGCTCTTTATTTGGCCAGCCCCGTTTCCAATGCAAGGAGTTGGCTCATGTCATGGGTCCCATTTTATCAATTGGTTAATTGTCAGTGACTTTGAGATAACCCCTAGCTACAGTCCTATATCTAAAATGAAACGTCCAAGTGTCTATGTTTTGTCTCCAAGCAAGTCACAGTGGCACACATGGACTCAAGTGATGAGCTTAAGACCCTGCTGGTTGAAAGTCAAGCTCTTCATTGCTCATTTCACCCAGTCTGAATATTATTCTGACTCAAAATTGTGTTTTACTCCAGATCCACCTAGCACTGAGCCAGTTGAAGTTTGATAATTCCTTTACTGTGCATTTGTAGAAGATGTTGGAACTCTGTTGGCATAGAGTGGACATTTGGTTTGGGCAACTGATTGTCATAGTAGTGATGTAGCATGACTTTGCCTTCAATACTTTTAGCAAAGGGCCAGAACCCATAAACGCACACTTCTTCACACAGTTCCAGTGCAAGACTTACAATCATTAAGCCAGTGGAGAGACGTTTCACTTGAATGCCTTTGGAAAGCCAAAACTTGGTCAAGTGTTGGATGTAGATGGGGTTAAAAAACACAACTTTCTGCTTTGCCTGGAAGTCTTCAAGAGTATAAAGAGCTCTGAAACTGAGCGCCGTATTCGGGGGGTAGGAAAAGGCAGGTAAGAGGAGAAGGGCTTTATTGTAGACAATTGTGTCAGTGTAAAAAGGTTTCCTCCTATTGTGGAGTTCTGCATAGCTGTCAGAGAGAAAAAAAAACACTCATTGTTACTTCTCAACTTTTTTATCAATTCAATATGCTGCTTTCTCTCTTACCTCTTTACCCCTAACATTCAACTATCACCGCTCTTCCCCACTTCTCTATGCATCCTATTTACCCCACTCAACATAGAAGCAGTACTAACTATTTCAAAGCCTTTAGTCAGAGTAATCTATTGATTACAACAAAGGAGGGTACTCTTGGTCTGTACTCTGTGTCTGCTTTAAACATCTACAGAGGGACCATATTTCAGATGAGGGTCTGAACTGATGCCCTGCCTGCCTGATCAGGGGAAGATATGTGAAAGATATCAGAATTCGATGAAGAGCTTTCTTTTAATTCACTTTCTTCTGCCAGATTTCACCCTGTAATATGGATGCAAGCTTACTTATCAACAATGCTTTGAAGTCACTGAGAAGCACTTCCTCATTACTTCACAAACCATTAAACTAATGACCAATAAATGATCCCTGAATGTAGTAAATCCAATGCTTCTTGCCAACTTGCTGGTTACAATCATTAACCAAGAGAAGACACTGGATTTCCTTGGGGCTTCCAACTAAATAAACTTCCTTAGCCAACAACTGGGCAGTGCCAGATTCTCATCCCTTGATTTGACCTTATTCTGGACAATGGAGGAGTATCAGGACTATCCCTGGACCTTACCCCAGCAGTGTCAGCATCTTGGTTAGTTGTGTCAAACGCAATAGCCTAAGGCAACCCAAAACAATAAGCCAGTGCTTTCCTCCCATCTCCACAAATCACGAATTCTTGCTTCGCCCACCGCAGAGGATGGAAGCATTTGAAATACGGAGCGGCTAAAGGCGTGCTCTCACCTCTTTGCAATGATGCTTGGATTTGCCGTCACCAAATTAGTTTTTAATCCAACGTCTTGGGTGAACTTCCCACCTACTGGAGGGAGGTTGCACCTGGAAAAAGAACATGAACGTTATTACGGACCAGACCAAACCTCCCTCAAAATATTCAGAAGATACTCTAGACCCCATATTTTTTTTTATTTTTTGAAGGTAAACATGAGGTGTTATGTTCCATGCAATTTGATTACACGGATTTAAAACAAAAACACACTTTATTCATTCACTCTAGTTAAAATAGTTAAATAGTTAAAAGAAAGAAGGAATTGGAACAGCTTAACTCAACTGGAAAACGTAACAAAATAATAGATACAGTAACTATTACTAATTAACTGTTCTAATACAGCAACATCCCATAAACACACCCTTGGCAAAAGGCAAATTCAGAAAACAGATTGTCTCACATGCAACTCACATAGCAGGCAGAGAACCTCCAGCTTTTGGCTGTAACTGAGAGAGGGGGAAAAGATATCTTTCACTTCAAGAACCCAACAGTAACTGCTGAAAGCTAAAACTAAAAATCCTGGCTCTGTGGAAGTTTGGCTACACCCATTCAGGCTGCTTCTATTGTTCCATCTTAAAAAAAACACCAAGGCCTCACAAATTGTTTACTCTAATGGCTCTGGTAGACTGTTCACACCTCTGCCTTAAAATCTCCCTTCAAAAAAAAAGGACAAAATACACCTCTTAAAGCCACAGTCTCGTCATAACATTCAGTTCAAAAACTCCCCAGTAGGGTTCACATATTTGTTGTACTCCCCTAACACAAGGTTACTACACTCCAGGGCTGGTAAACAGAGGTAGGATTTCAAGGTCTGATCTAGATCATAGAGTCATAGAGACCTACAGCACAGAGACAGGCCCTTCGGCCCAAACTGGTCCATACCGACCAAAACATTCATCACGCTAACCCCATTTCTCTGCACTTGGCCCATATCCTTCTAAACCTTTCCTATCTATGTACTTGTCCAAATGCCTTTTAAATGTTGTTAAAGATGCCTAGTAAATGTTGTTACGTAGCACGCACTTTCTTCAGAATACAATTACAGAACTTGTGTAGTTCTATGGAAAAAGCTCTGACTATTTATGGTGCAAACTTCACATATGTAGCATTAAATCAAAAGTTGGCTTCAGTTTCACTGAAGCGTTACCTTGCTGCACTGCCGAATACACCCACTCACCAACTTTTCAGAGTTACAGCTAGAGAATAACCTCAAACTACATATAATTGAAAGTCAATGGTGTGAGAATAAAACAATCAATACTGCAGTTTTAACCTTTAAAGTGGATTTTCCGTTAATGGTTAACTTGAATCAGTAACTGAGTTGAAGTAATCGTCGTCTTGTTCTTGGACATTAGATTGTGGTCAGTGACTTGCTGAATTAAACCAGAATACAATTTTAAAAAAACACAACAACATAGATATCAATTAATGGTTAATATGTGTGATCTTGAGACAGCATAGGTATTTTCTTCTGAGAAAGAATGTGATAAGGGATATCCAAGGTACTCAGCATACATCACCAGGAAGGCTGAAAAGAGCAACGTTGACAATTTTCAGAGTATTCTGTGCAAGACTACTCTACAGCTCACAGAATGGAGATTGGGGAGAATCATTTAACTGGAAAAAAAAGAGTTGATATAGAGGGCTAAATTCTCTGGATTTGAATCTTTGTAAAGTGATGGTGTTGGGAAAAAAGTTGAAAACTTTGTTTGCTGCATATTTTAAGATCTTTATCTTCTACATCAAGGTAGATTGTGTTTCTTTTTGTCTTTTGTGTAATAAACCAACTTTTTAAAAATAAATTCTAGAGCCTCTAGTCATCACGTTTTAGTGACTGACTTCTACATTAACCAAACTTCTTAAAAAATGATCTATCAAGCCAGACTTCATTCTGGGATCCAATATGTCCAGTAGTACCATAACCTAACATTAAAAAATAAACAATAGGGTGACCTCCTTGATCCAGAATTACTTAACAATTCTCACAGTTGGCTTGGTAACTATCAAGTCAAATATACAGTTAGTTCTGGAACCAAACCATTAATGGCAACAAATCACACTCAAGAAATACGAGCCATATCTGCTTTTGTTCCCTTAATGATGATGGAATAAAGTTACCATACCATTTCCAGCATTTTGTTGGTGAGTTAGACATGGATCAGGATTAGAGGATAATTTGTCCGAATACAGATTTTCTCTCTAGCCAACTTTTATCTGCAACTAGCCTTTTACTTGCATGCAATATTCTCTGCTCTCTATTCTTTAGGTAACTGCTGCACTCAATTTGCTATGTAGGAACTAGGCTGATGCAATATTCGCTCCACTATCTTTCATTGCAAAGTTACCAACAACCCATAGTTGAAACAGTTAAACAATCTGTGGCTTTCACAAAGGGTGCCCCAGTTCTACCACATTCATTATGCCAAAAAAAATGTTGCCAGGAAAATGACTTCTAGATCTCAACACAACAAAGACAGATTGAAAGCTCTTTTATATAACTGTCACAATATAGTCAGTCCTACAAAGGAACCCCTCTGTGAAGTTATTTGACAGTTACTATGGGTTATATTAAAATGACCCTCAACAATAGTTAGTGAAGGAGTTGCATTTGGATTTTAATGGAAAGCAAGAATGAGAATTTATTAAAATTAATATCAAATGGATTAGGGACATGAGCATGAATGCAGAAACATGTCAATCCAAACGTAAAATATTATGATGATTTGTATAATTTTCAAGAACTAATAGCAGTTAATTAAAATTGGTCCATTTGGAACAGGTAAAGTGCTGTTATTTAAATGTTGGTAAAATTCACTGATTTTGAACTTTACTCACTCAAATCATCTAAATGCTACAGAACTGAATGGGTCCAACTTCCTCTGCCACTGCCCACACTGATATGCTTTTACTGATTAGTTGAAGGGAGTGAATGAAGTTGATTTGATTCTCAATGTGACAGTTGGCAAGTTCAGGTATTCATCAGAAACAGAAGTATCTGATCGTGGCACAGGACAGAGCTTTCAATCTATCATGAATGAGCCAATCCACTCACAGAAAAGTATTCGGACTATTTTAAAAAAGACATTTTGCCAAAGCTTTTCATCATCAGGACATTCACAAATGTGAATTGTGAATGTGCCAAATGTAAAGAGAAACGTCATTTTTTTTGTATATATACTGACTGAAAAGAGTGTGCTTACTGGCTGAAAAGTTGTCTCACATTCATGGAGAAGGCACTAATGAGATGATCACTGACAATAAATGCCAAAACTTGTTAAATTTAAAGCAGGCGGGTTGACACTGATTAATCAAAGCATTGTCCCAGTCAACATCAAAGTGATACTTCCTCCATGGTGATGCCTTTATCAGAATCCACTTACCATCCAATAAACACTCTCTTCTCCCATAGAGTCATTATCAGCACAGAAACAGACCCTACGGTCCAACTTTTCCACGCTGACCAGATATCATAGAAACCCTACAGTGGTCGGCGTGGAAATGACAGAATCCCCACAGTGTGGAAATAGGCCTTTTGGCCCAACATGCCCATACCACCCCTCTGAAGAGCATCCCACCCAGACCCATCCCCCACCCCTGCATTTCCCTTGTCTAACCCACCTAACCTAACCATCCCTAGTCACTTCAGGACAATTTAGCATGACCAATCCACCTACCCTGCACATCTTTGCACTGTGGGAGGAAACTGGAGCACCCAGAGTAAACCCACACAGACACAGGGAAAATGTGAAAACTCCACACAGACAGTTAACCGAGGCTGGAATCAAACCCAGGTCCCTGGTGCTGTGAGGCAGCAGAGCTAACCACTGAGCCACCGTGTTGCCTAACTTAACCACTTAAATTAATCTAGTCCCATTGCCAGTATTTGGCCCATATCCCTCTAAACTTTCCTATTCATGTACTCATCCAGATGCCTCTTAAATGTTGTAATTGTAACAGCCTCTACCACTTCCTCTGGCAGCTGTCTCCACACACACACCACCCCCTGCATGAAAAAGTTGCCCCTTAGGTCCCTTTTAAATCTTTCCCCTCTCACCTTAAGCCCAGGCCCGCTAGCTCTGGACTCTCCTACCCTGGGGAAAAGACCTTGGCTGTTCACCCTATCCATGCCTCATGATTTTATAAATTCTGTTCCTTCTAACACTGATGTTTTTGCGAACACTGAGTAGAAGATGAAGACCTTAAAAAAATGTCTTTTTGTCAGGAATATTCAAGTTCTGTACTACTAAATCACTGAAGGCACAGACAGCTGTTTGAACCACAATAACCAAATTGCAAGCAAATGCAAAACAAAATCATTTATCATTAGGTGGTAAGACAAGTAACAAAAGGTTTCACCTTAGATCACTGTCGAGTGAGAGAGAAGTGGGGATAAAGCAGGATCAAGGTTTAAGCACAAGACTTTTATCATTATTTTCTATTCAGTTATCCACCTGGCAGTTGATCAGGTTGCCTGGGGAGGTCACAGCTAGGGACAACTGGGAAACATTGCTGACAATTGGGAAAGATTATTCGAGTGGGATTGCAACTCAGCAATCAAGAGAGGGGGCACAGGCTGCAGGCTGGTGAGGGATGGTTTGGGCAAGCACAAAAAACTGGGGCCATTTGTTTAATTTTGAACCCATCAGCTGTCAAAGTGGACCCTTCATTGTCATAGAAAAATCGTGAGCTACGAGACTAAATCAGTCGGGTTCTCAAAGGGGGCTGGCATCGTGAACTCAACCGCGACAAAGGAACACTCGGCACTCTCCTGAGCGGTGCAAACCACAACAGTCCTGAAATCGAAGGTCAGTGTATCTTAATTGGCCAACAGCCCGAGCAGTCTATCTACCACCACATTATATCGTAGTATGTCATAGCTACAGAGGTACCACAGCAATTCGCAAGGCTTACTTTGAGAGGAGATCCAACACTTGTCCGTGGGATCTACTACTATAAAAGGTCAATAGCACACAGACCATCAAGTTCCCTTCTAAATCACACGCTATTCTGAAATGGACAAGTATTGCCATTCATTCATTGTGGGTATTGC